GGGAGTCAGGGTGAATATCTACAATCTGAACTTGCCAGTGAAGAATAAATTAGATAAAGTAAACAACAAAGTCAAAAAATATTCAGTCATTCAGAAGTCAGATTTCCAGAGTAAATATCACCTCCCTGCCCTCACGTGTCAGCGCCACCGTGGAAGGCAGAACACAGAAAGGAGTGGGTCGCGGGGGGTGACGAGGACTGTCCTTCAGTCAAGCAGCCTGGCCAGCAAAGAGCCTCAGCCCCGCGCAGGGCGCTGTCACCCTGTGCCTGCTCAGGGCGCTTACGCGGCTGTCCACGTGTTCCGCCCACAGGGTCCTAGCAGGTCCTCACAGAGCGACCTCTCCCCCGAAGAGACAGGAGTCAGCGCACTGACTGAAATGCTCTCAAATGACAGGTAAGTCTTGGAAGCTGCCTGTGTGCCCATCACCAGAGGGATGGAACAAGAAAATGGGGTATTTACACCATGGAGCACTACGCTGCCGTAAAGAAGGGTAAGCTGGAGTGTCTGAAGGGAAATCTCATGGGTGGACCATGATGTTAGATGAAATAAACCAGATGCACCACTTAAACATCACACGGCTTCTCTTATATGAGAGGCCCAAAGTGTAAATAAATTAAACAGCAAAATAAAAGAGATGATAGGAGACAGAGAGGCCTTTCACAAAAGGGAAGGGGACCCAGAGATGGAGGGAGGAGAGGGAGGGGAAGGGAGAAGGAATGGAGGAGGAATGAAACTGCCGGGTACACGTACCAACTCCCCGTGAAGAACGGGACCTTCTGAACTGCAAACATGAATTAATAAAAATAAAACTTAGAAAAAGCAAAAGTAAAAAAATAAATTAAATAAATTACCCGGCACCTAGCAGTAGACGCTAGGTCCCTTACCCCGCAGGGCTGCCATGAAACCCCCAGGTGCTGCGTCAGCAGCCTCGAGAACAGACCCCCGGAGCTGTCACCCTGAGCACGACGGTGCCCCCACACAAGGGCGGGACGGCCGAGGCAGCATCGTGAGTGACCAGCAAGGCCAGCAAGCGGCACAGGTGCAAAACACACCCCAGGCGCAGAGGGCAGGCCTTGTGGGGGCGAGAGCACGGCCACCGGGCTGCGGGAGGGCTAAGGCCTGGGTGGGCAAACCTCTAAGATGGGGTGTGAGGGCTGCTATGTGAGGACTGGGGGGCTGCACCAGAGGGGTGCACCTCCTCCTCAGCGGCTCCTCGCTCTCTCCGACCTGCTGGCCAGCGCGGATGCCCCTGCCCGTGGACTCCCCAGGAGGGCGGCTGCTCCTCCCTGCAGACAGCACGAGGGTGGATTTCAAATTGCCCTCCCCGTTCGCATCTGCGTGGGTGTTTTGCATTTGTTTGGGGCTCGCATCTGCTCCCAAACAATGAGCAGTAATTTTAAACCTGTTTAGCTCGCGTTTAACCCAGATACTTCTTTTGTGACCGTTTCACTCGCATCTGGGTTTCCGCGCAGAGAGGTTGTGTGGAACAAAACAAGTGCAAAATGGTATCAACCAGCAGCTGTGCAGGAGGCAGGAGGCAGCGAGGCCGGGCACAGCCTCGAGAGGGTGGGGACCCCGCTCTGAGAGGCTCCGAGAGCAGACGCGGCTGCTGCTTCACACCCCAGGGTTAGGGCCACCTAGGGCTCCGGGCTCAGGAAGGGCTGAAGACCAGGGATCGGAGGAAAGGAGGCCCTTGGCAGGCTCCTGGGGGACAGCAGGGACCTCTCAACAGTGCCCATGCGTTACTCGCCAGCTGGGCAGATAAAGGTTTCTGGAGGACAAGCACACCGACCTCCTGAGAGGTTTGTCAGGCTAAACACGAGCTTGGAGGCCCAGGAGCAAGCCACCGCCAGGCTGAAGCAGCTCTTCCTTTCTCACCAATGCCCAAAACACTCACGCAATTCCAAAGAAACTTGCTGAACGGGCTCTGCAGCTGGTCTAGCCCAGTCACCCATGAAGACCTACCGCCGTGGGAGTCTGGGAGAGCCCGGGGTGTCATTCCCCGGGTGTCGTTTCCCGGGTGTCTTTCCAGGAGCTTTTGTGTTTTTAAGCCAGCTATCAGCCAGAGCTAGAGGTGGGCACCCTCCGCAGCAGCTCCTCCTGCAGGACCTGGGTCTGCTGTCTCCAGACACTGTGTGGGGGCTGTCCTGACTCAGCGGGGGGCCATCAAGACCTCTGGGCCGTTCGTGGCCTCAAAGTCATACTTTTGAAAGTGAAGCCTGAGAGTCTGAGGGTTCTCTCAGGCATTGACACTCACAACAACTATGTGCACGACACCTTTCACACCATGGCCAACAAGACGGCAATAGAGATGTCGCCCGACCCTGCCTTGGCAGTTGGTGACCGCTAGACAAAGTGTGCAGGTACTGTGCTGGTGTCCACAGAGCCTTGTGATAGAAGTGTCCGTGTGCCACGGGGACCGGGGGTGGCCCAAACCCCACTTGGCTGTCAGTGACTGGGGCCAGGGTAGTAGAACTGAGGTGCAAATTTTATTTGACCTTGAGTAAATTAAACTCTGATTGCAAAAGGTATCCATGGCCGGGGGCGACTTTGGACAGCACGGAGGAATAAGGGACTTTTTCCGTCCCTGCCACACACAGGAGGGCTCGGGCGGACAGGAACTCCACGCATAGGAGCTCCGACTTGGGAAGCAATTGATATTTATAACCTGAAAATTTAATTTTCATTTTGTATTTTTTTCATTTTCGTTGCTATAAACGTGAAAAAATGTCCCTAGAAACTTGAGATAAATGGGAGAGAGTCCATTGCTAGCGGGCCACGGCTTCTGCAGTGTCCTCGGGGACGGTTGTTTTTGATTCAGATCCATCCATTTCTTTTAAAACGCTGTCACACCAGTCGATTACACACGAATTTTTTTTTTTTCAGAAGCCACAGATCAATATAAGGGCAATTAGCAATCTTTTTATCTCTTAAAAATCATGCAAGAAGTCAGGTTTTTGAAGAATGATTTTCAAAATGGAGATACTGCAAAATAAAATGTATTTGGGTCTTGGAAGACGACGTCCCAGCAACCTCTTATGGTGGCCTTTGCTTCCGAGGGCCAGCCTTTCCGCTCAGCACGGTGCGCCTGGTGCTTGGCGGGTGGTTCTGTGCGCCCTGCAGTCCTGCCACAGTATCACAGCACTTTGCTTGTGTAGCAGTTCGCGCACCAGGTTCTGTGCCTGTAACAAAGAAGTTGTCATCAGGCTTCCTGTGGTGCTGTGGTACACTCAAGCTCACAGGAGGTATGCCGAGTGGAAACTCTGGGCACCTCTCCTTTCTAGACTGCAGGCCACAGCAGGCCACGCACCCTACGTACCCGAGGTCTGCACACATTAAACCACAGAGGAAAGAATGGATCCCCCACAAGCAAATGAGCAGAGCTCACGGCCAGGCCCTCGCAGAGGAGGCACCACTGTGACGGGGACTCTGGAGTAGCCACGCGGGGCTCCTCGGTCTAGTGCTGGGGGCAGCACAACCCAACAGTAACCTGCTGGGGCTGCCCTGAATCCTGGCAGGTGCTCAGCAGCATCACTGACCCGAACCCAGAAGCAGACACTGCCCAGCCAAGACACCCCGGATCCAGGCGCCGTCACTGTCCCTGGGAGCCTGGAGCCCACGGCTTCTGTTGGGCTCTGCTCACAAAGCTCACAGATGCGGATGTCTCCTCAGCCCCATGGCTGCCCTAACTGCAGAAGCAAGGACTTTTAGGAGCCAGTGACATCCAGGGTGGAAACACCTGAGCTGATGGCCCACACCAGGGAAGGGGATGCTTTGAGACCAGGAATGATGGTGATTTTACACACACTTAAAATGCTACACACACACACACACACACACACCATAGTTCATTTTAGTAACATGAGGAATATAAAATGCACTTGATTTATTAAACAAATTCCTGCCTTGCCCTTTGTATCTACCCAAGTCAGACCTCATCTTGGGGCCAGAAGGATGTCCCTGTTGAGGGGTGACACTTGTGCTGCCAGTGTAAATACCAAGTGCAGGAGGAAATGCCCCCCATACCAGGACAGAGCTCACCCTCAGTGCCCCGTTCTGGAGCCCATGGGCCCCACACTGCTGCTGTGAGATGTGGTTGTTGAATGAGTGTGTGATCTTCCAGATGCCCAAGAAGAAAGGTGAGCAGCCCTCTTACTGGGAAGTAAAAGGCCTGGCCTTCACCACAAAACTGACCCAGCGGCTGCCCGAGACCATCCCAGAGAACTCTCCCTGTCCTGAGTCTGTAGTGCCAGCAGCCCAGCGGCGTAGCAGGCACAGCCCTCTCCCACATTCTGTGCGGTCCACACAGGTAGTTTAAAATGTGCTGGGGTGATGCCAGCAGGGAGCCAGGGAAGATCCGGGCAGAAAGGGAACTCGGGCTGGGGCCAGGTCCTCGAAGATATCTGCGCTGGCCTTGGGCTTCAGATAACCATCCCTCAGATCTCAGAACAGCTTTCCTGAGAACGGCCAACGAGACAAACAGCCTCTTGTTGGAGACGTGGCATCTCTCATACTTTATTTTCTCTTTATAGGCCGCGTAAATCAAGCCAGCCCTCCACTTTCCAGCTCCTGCGTTGCTGACAGCTGCTCCCCGCCTGGCCTGCGAGGAAAGACCCCTGTGGGTCTGGCCTGGGGTCATGTTCCCTGCTGCGTGAGGTGCAGGGAAGCAAAGCGGAAGGGAGGAGAAGGGGCTGTGTGCAGGAACTGTTGAACGCTAGGATCGGGAGTCGCCTGAGCTGCAAACAGCAAGCAGGCCTGACTTCCGGCCCACTCTGGGTGACGCGGGACCCCGGAGTTGACCCCAGCAGTCAGGCGCTCCCGGCCTGGGGCCACCCGGCCCAGTTCCAATATGAGCTACAGAGCCTTAACTTGCAGCCTGGCCAAGACTTCAAGTTAACAAACTGTTTAAAAACATCTTCGCTTCTCATTGGTAAACAGCGTGTCTGCTGATATATATTCAGAAAATTAGTGTTTTCCTGCAGCGTTTTCTGGTACATTACCTCGGCTCAATGCGTGACTCGCACGTGGCGCTCCTCGCCAGCCCGCGCAGGATCGCACGCTCCGCCACCAGCCATGGGCGTCGCAGCAATAATTTGACAGGCGATAAAAAAAGAATAACCTCCTTGGTGCAATTTTTATAGTCTATTCTTCACAGTCTCTGTCATTGGAGTGGAAGAAATGAAGACGTACAGTTTAACCAGTATGTTTACATGCATCCAGCAGATATTTTTCTTTGTAGATTAATTGAATTACACCTATAAAATACTTATGTTGTCTGCTTATCAGTCCAGAGATGATTTTGAACAATTAGAGGACTATGCTTGCGTTACGAATAAAAGATTACTACCACAGCCAAGCAACACTGGAAGATCATTCTCCACGCAGAACATTCTCAGGGAGTCTGCCAGGGTCCTCTTTCGTGCTACCCCAGGGAAACATAACTCCACAGAAGTTATGAACTCTGCTATCTCACATTTGAAGAGCGCTGTGGTGTATATCTAGGTGTCTGCACAATGCTCACACACTCATAGGTGGCGCTTTAGGAAGGCGATGGATCCTGGGCTCAGAGCTGGCTTCTGTCAGGAGCTGGGCTCTGGTATGAAGAGTGTCTCTGTGGCCGTGGCCTGGAAGGGTCCAGCCCCCTCCCCCAGTTCCTCCCTTGATCTCTGTCTGCTTCCTGTCTGCCCTGCTGTCCTGCCTTGGAGCTGGCTGACTATGGACTGAGATCGTGAGCTAAAATAAACAAACCTCTCCTTCAATTTCTTGGTGTTGGGTCTTGAGTCCCAGCAGCAAGGACATGACCAGGACAAAGTGCAGAGCCACCTCACGCATAAGACCCCAGCTTGGTCCTGCGTTCACAAGGAAGCAGGGAAGCTGACGCCATCGTGGGGTGGAGCCGGTCTGGCTCTGTTTCCTCGCATGGCAGGCATAAGTCCTGTGACCCTGAGCAGGGCCTGGAGTTGGCCCTGTCTCCTCACCTACACCCAGGCACGGGGGCTGGGGACATGGAGCCGAGCACAGATCCCGAGAGCAGGAAGCAATATAAACCAGGCTGGGTCAGAGCCCAGCAGGGAGCACTGGGTCTCAAACACCAACAGCAAAGAGAAGACAGGCAGAGAAGGAAAAGGAAAGAGAGGGAAAGGGAGGGAAGGAAAGAAGGAGAGAGGAGGAGAGGAAAGAGGGGAGGGGAGGGGAGGGGACGGGAAAGATTTCCTGAGTCAGTACCTGCCAGCTCCCTGCTGTAAACACCCATGATGTGGCAGCCAGGCAGGGTCACGCTGGCTCCACACCAGCCCCCCAGCCACCTGTGAGGCCTGGGCCCCCGCTGCCCCCCGCACCCTGTTCGCATCGCAGTCACAGCGCCATACAGAGCGCTGCTGAGGCACACGGCTCTGCGGGCCTGACACTCCTCACAGGCGTCACCACTCACGCCCTCGTGAGTCCTGCTCAGTGTGCCCCCAGCTCTGCCGGGATAGGCCTTAATGCATTCTGCGGACTGGTTCCCAGCGGGGTAGGATGCGGGATCGCATTGCCACTGGGAGGCGGGGCCCCCCATAGCTGGTGTCAAGGTGATTCCCCGAGAGTCACCCAAGACGTACAGTGTGCCAATGTCCAGTGTCCCCAGTGGGCCTGGAGGGGAGGGGCACCCCAGGACTCACTGGGGCTGATGCGCTGACAGGAGCTGGGTGGATCATCCCCTCCTACCCCAGGAGAAGCAGTGCCCCCCAGACTCACCACGCAGCCTCTGTGCCCTGCAGGACCCGCTCCACCCCGGCCCATGGGAGGCACGGTCAACACAGCGTGCGCGGGCACGAGGGCACGGACAGGAGGAGCCGAGCTCGTGGGCACGTGCACCTGGCGAGTGAAGCGGGAGAGTTTACGGGGGCAGAAGCGATTCGTCAACGACCCGCTCAGTGTCCGCGTGACGGACGCAGGGGTCAAGCACACTGAGTGAGGCCCTGTGAGGCTGAGGCTGACGTACGAAGCCCTTGCACTGCCAGGGGACAGGCCCAGGCGAATCCAGGTCGGCGTCGCTGGGGTTGAGCCCCCAACAGCAAAGCCAGGTGGTGGTGGCAGCGCCGGTGTGGTACTCACGTGGCCACTGGTAAGGCCCCTCACGGGGAGCTGGGCACAGGGTGAGGGTGAGGGCCGCAGGCCTCTGGCTCCAGGGGACAGGTGGGGGTAGAGAAGAGCATGGGAGAGGCACGGGCCCGAGGCACGGAGGGGAATGCTGACCGTGCAGGCCCCCGGCCACACGGGGCACTTGGGCTGTTAATCCAACTGGAATGTGATGGTCCTGCGGGATTTACAGCAGGGAGCTGGTGTGTGGGGGTGGAGGGCAGGCGGTCCTGAGCGGCCACAGTCACGTCCGCAGTGGACAGGCGGGTTGGACGTGGGCAGACAGCTGCTAGTATAGGCCTTCGTGGCACCAGACGGACAGCCAGGGACAGCTGGGCCATGAAGGGGGAGGTGCAGGTGGAGATGGGCCAGCCAGAAGCTCGGGGAGGGCAGAGCAGCATCAGGCTGGAGGGCGCTGCGGCTGAGAGCCAGGCTGTGACCTCCAACGGGGCCGACATCGTGTCCCCTGGGGCAGCACTGGGAACCCCAGGACTCCACCAGCTCCAAGTCTCAGGAAACCGCGGAGCCATAGGCCTGCAGCCCAAGCAGTCGGCAGCTCAGGGCAGGAGGAGGCCTGGGAGGACACGGTACAGGTGCCCAGGCTCACCCCATCCTGGGCCCTGACAAGGCCCACTCCTGTGTGTCCCATGGGCTCTGTCTCCAGCTGCACAGGATTCACGTGCTTCTTAGAGGACAACAAAAGTGGTGCAGGGCGCCTCCCTTTCCTGTGCCAGCCGCTCCTGGCATCTCCAGAACCATCTGTCTGCATCCTCCCAGCGGATGGGACCCACACACCCATGAACATGTGCGGAGGGGCGGGGCTTGGCCAGGTGACTCCCCAAGGGCACACAGCCCATGTGCAGGGGACACAGAGATGGGGCCTCGGACGCCATCACTGCCACGAGGCAGAGGAAAATCAAGCATCTGTTCAGAACACTCTAAACCGTGCATAAGCGCCTCAGGACCGCCCAAGCGGGCTTTCAGATTCAGATGTGGAGCTGTTAAGCTATTAAGGAGGCTGAGGCAGAAGGATCATAAATCTGAGACCAGGCTGGAAGATCTGATCTCAAACATTAGAAAAGGGCCAGGGATATAGTTCACCCATCATCACCCATGACAATGTCTCATGCAGGCCTATTTCAAGGATCTGCGCTAATAAGGCCCAAAGGTCAGTGGTGGAAGCTAGAAAGTCTATGCCAGCGGGATGAAGGACCTGCTAGCAGGCTGAGGGATCTGCACTGGAGCCAGGAAGCAATGCTCAAAGTAAGAAACAGAGCTACCCCAAAAGGCACCACAGCCATCCTCAGCAACAGTGAGGTCCCGCGCTCCTCCAACGATGAGGTAAACCAAGTTCCCATCAGGAAAGCCAACGTGACAAGCTTCTCCAGGAGACTGAGCAGTGCACCTTCTCCCCGGACCTCCCCCACCAGGAAGCGATGCTCAAAGTGAGGACCAGCACTCCCCCAAAGTGAACAGAAGCCATTCTCCATGCCAGCAAGGTCCTGAGCTTCTTGGAGGGTGAGAACAACCGAGTTCATCAGGAAATCCAGCACGACAAGCTCCTCCAGGAGAACCAACAGCTCCCTGCAGCTTCCCTAACATCTTCCCTTCTTCTCCAGTTCTGCCTGGTATGCTGCCAGCAACAATCCTCAGGTGGGCCCCCCACACCCAGCACCATGCTGGTTCAGTTCAGCTGGGTGTTACAAGTTGGCCACCAGCTGTCAACCCACTACAAGAGGGAAAGCCCCAAGTCCCATGGCCTAGGGTTACAGGTAGAGGGTGTGGGCAGGCGTGGGCGGCCCCTGTGTCATGTGACCGGTGCTGCTGTGGGCACCGTGTGTCCAGGCAGAAGGTGGCCAGCAGGAGTAGCCAGGGTACCCTGTGGGGGAGGGTGCTGGGACAGCACTGCCAGGGAGCCAGGGCCCAGCAGGCAGCAGAGGGACAGCAAAGAGAGAAAGGAGACCTAAGTCACAAAATATGAAGAGTGATCGAAATACACATGAACGTTTGCACACAAATAATTAATTATGACGGAAGACACTTGGCCATGAATCCCCTCAGATCTACCTCCTCACTTCAAAGGCGCTTATCTCGGGTTCTTGTTACTTCCTGGAGCAGCTCCGGAGTACTTTCCTGAGTGCCTTACAAGGTATGATCAAAAAATATGGTGACGGTGGCTGCTGAGAGCCACCCAAAGGGAGGGCAGCTCAGAAAGACATAGCGCTTGTCCTCACTGCAGTCACCGGACCTGGCACTCTGCAGCCTCCGGCTCCTCCCCAAAGTCAAAGTGAGCATGAAAGGAAACAATCTGAAGCCATTCAGGACACTGAGGCAGCCAGGACAGTGCAGCTAAAGACCCTCAGGAAAGAGGACTCCAGAGCTGCTGCGGGAAGGGGCCAGGATGATGGGATGCATGTGTCTGAGGCAAAAAGGAGGATTTGGGAGGCAAGTCATGGAAATGTGCTGCTATTATAATATATATTTTTAAAATTTGAACATTCACCATAGTCTTTGATCACATTTTGCACATAAGTGGCGGAAGCAAAAGCAGCTATACATATGGCCATTGTGCTGTGTTTACCCTACTGAAGGACAGGCAGCCGGCTGGGGGAGGGCGCTGCTGGGCTGCAGCCTGAGACAGGAAACCTGGGTACAGAGCAGCTAGGGGCAAGGCCAAGGCAGGGAGACCTCGGGCCACGGAAAGGGCCACACTGTCGGAGAGAAAGGACAGCGCTCAGCACCAGGGCACCACACGGGGAGGCTGCCTTGACAAGGAAGGGCAAGGAGAGAGCCCTGCAGCCCAAGCAAGGGCAGGGAAGCGGGCAGAAAGCCACCCCCTGTGCCTCGGAGCAGAGAGCAGAGAGGCGGGGCGACTCCAGGAGTCAGGTTCAGCGAGTGGGCGTCCTGGACAAGCTCCTCCACGTCCAGCACCGAGACAGGAGCTGAGGGGGGGTTACAGCACAAGCCCTCCTCGGGGAAGGGATAGGCAGGCAGCTGTCTGCGCCAGGGACCTGCAGCCAGCGCCCTCTCCTGCCACCT